GGTATGGAGGAAGTGTCATGAGGTCGGTACGATGACCTAAGGACCTGGGAAGCTATGTGAGAGAAGGAAACAAAATCTTATTAAGTTAGTAAGTTCATCTCGCTGAGAAATAGTAGTTCTTGGAAATGTGTCATAGACAGTGGCGGATCCAGCCTATACAAGTAAATGAACATAAACATTAGGATTTGCTTGAAGTCTGATAGGTATTTTATGTCTGGATCTGCGCATTAATGAACATAAACATCAGGATTTCTGGTATAGGTGGTTTTTGGCAACTTTTTTTTGTTACTGGCTTGGTTGGGGTGGCTGAAGCCGGAAGATGTATTAACATGTGTGGATCTAATCACATTTTCAGTATTTACTATCGTGGTCGTCTTTTGGTAATGGAAATTTCTGTTGATACAGACTTGCTCGAAAGCTTAAACTGCCATAGACGGATAGAGGATTAGTTGCTACTAAATTTATCTATTGCGCCTCAGGAAATGATAATTTAACTTAATAGAAATTTTATCTTAAATTAAAAANAAAAAAAAAAAAAAAAAAAAAAAAGATACATCAAACCTGCAAGCAACGCGCGCGGTGTTAATTATATGGTGCCCCCATTATGTAGTAATCCTAGATCCGTCGTTGGTCATAGACGAGATAGGTTTAGATCTTTTTCCTAGTAATGAGGTTGCATGAGCAAGAACTCAAGTTCTTTTACAAGCAACGTGCAATATATTTTTACATCTCAGTTTAGATTTCATGAGCAATATCTAACTTTAGTGTCAGAGGTTTTATGTCTGGCCCTTCCAAGCGTATTTTGCAGGTAACCGAAGCTTGAGTTGAAGGATGGCTAGTGGCATTGCCTGTCTTAATCTGGCCCAGACACAACTTGCACATCAAAGTTGATTTATGTTATTTATTATTATTACTTACGAACTATTGGTGTTTGATTTATTTAGAACTGGTACAGTTAATATTCATAATTTATTTGTCTGACACTCTAATGTAATTGTTATTAATCTCATTTTGTTAATAGCGAACGCGGGAACAAGGGGTCATGCACCTTAAAGGTAGAATGAACTAAGTTAAATGATTTGAGCGTATGGGCCTTTATGAAAATTCTTATGTGTGACGACCTAATCATCAGGCAACTCGATTCTTCATACCTTTTAAATAACACTTCATGCATATGGAATGTTATGTCATACTTGTTTATATTATTTTTTAAAGTGTGATACTTGAGTTTAAAAGTGCAAATTTCTTCAAAAAAATATGATTAATTAATTGTTATTCATGTCTAACATCAATCTCACTGATGTGCCTTTATTTTATGTTAATATATTTCTCTAGCAATTCATGTTGGTGGATTAAATCTAAAGAACTTGTTGTAAGTCTTTTATTATTTAGATTTAATTAAAAAAAACTTATATGGATTAAATATACATTATGGTAAAATTCGGTTAATAGAGTTTTTTATCAACTTATTTAGTAATTCATTAGATACGTAGTAAGTCGTTGCTATTACTTATAGGTAGAATTAAATTTGGCGATACCTAAACCGAAAATAGAATTCTCATCGCTTTATTTCCTTCGATCTATCTTCATTAAAATCAATATACTGAAGATATGTTCCTACAAGCACAAGGAATTTATATAAGGGAAGTTCATTTATTTACTTATATATATATGTGTGAATTCTCTACTTAAATATTTGTTGAGTTAAATGATCTTATTATGGTATTGTCTTGTAGGGTTGCAGTCAAATGGAAGGTACACACGCACACGACATCAAAGGAGAACAAGAGAAGATCGGCTAAGTAAAGAAAGAAGATCTCATGAGAGAGAAAGAGGGTCCTATTCCCATATGAGACTATTGGATAGACTTGGAAGGAAATATTCTTGGAAAAGATTCCAAACGATGGAGTTGCATATATATCCATCTTGAAGATCAAAGTAGCACTGCTGAAGCTATTGCTATTATTCATCACCTTCGAGCTTCAAGTTTTGTGCTTACATTTTTGCTTTGAGTTCAGTTCTCGGAACACTCAATTACCGAGGAACTGAAACCATTTCAATTGTATCGTTTTTCTTTTTATTCTGATTAAAACATTTTTGTGATTTACACTTAGGGAGTAAGTGTGAAAAATAAGTCCACGGGACGTGGCCGGAAAAGTAGTTGATAGACTAGATCATAGTTGTGGTTAGAATAGAAGGGAGTTTTATTTTGTAAATCCAAACTATGTCTTTGATAGTTGTCAATGAAAGAGAGCTCTGAGGGGAAGTGGGATGCTTCCCTGAAGAGTTTTTAAATCTGTGGTTGTTGCTTCCGCAATTTTTAGTTTTTAAACTTGTTCGTACTACATTGAGCGCACTCGCGATATATTCATACGTTTCATAGTGTTTTTATTCTTTTATTTGATTCGTGGCTAGTTTAAATTTTGCAACATCAAACCTTCCCACTAATCATTGATTTCGTAGTTCCGTTTTAGTTAATACTCCCTCCTATTTTTATTATTTGTCATTCTAGTTTAATTGATCATTTGTTAAATAAATGTCGTTTTGGCTATTTTGTACATATTTTTCCATTATTACCCTCATTTAATTAATAAATACACTACGTCTTTTCATATTCACTCTCCATCTTTTCTCAAAACATCAATCTCTATCCTCATTAATGAGGATTAGTATTGGCAAACAAAATACTCTTAATTATTGTGCAACTTCTCAAAACGACATTTATTTATTAAAAATAGGAGGGAGTACAAAATATCCCACTAATCATTGATTTCGTAATTCCCCCTTTAGTTAATATAAAATATTCACACTATTCGCACTCATAATTTTTACAAAATATTCCCAATATACGCACTCCTATTGTTGGGGTCAATCGGTAGTTGCTGCCACTATTAATTACTTTAAAGTTAGTCACGGAAAAATATAAATTTAATTTTTTTTGTGACACAATATGCTGCCAAATTGCCACCATTGATGACGAGTATAGTAATTAAATCCTAATTTGTTAGTATTGATTGGATTGTTTTTATTTTACTAGATCATTTTATCTCACATTAATCTTTTCCTAATTTACATGCACATAATTTTTATTGTTTCTCAACAATTGGTCCTTACAGCTGCGCCCTAATTTCTCTCCCCCCAAATCTCCCTCGTTCGTCGCCGGCATCAATCATCGTACCGAGCTTCACCCGCAGTCGTCTCCTGGCCGCTATGTCCTTTTCCTGATGTTGCACCTCCCCTCGCCCTGCAGTCCCGGTGGAATGAGTTCGCACAGTTCAGATTTGGATTTGCCTTCTCCAGTGGGTCTCGTCTCTGGCTTCCGATCGAAGGCCACCTTGGTTTTGAGGTGGGGATGGATGGGGTGCGATTCAGTGGGACAGGGACGGGTGTGGTTCTGGCGGCTCACGGCTTCGGGCTGGAGTGGCTGGGGCTGCGTCCTTGGGACTGCTCCCTCTTCCCGGTTTTCTGGCGTTGGGTTTTGGGGTGCTTGTCATTGTTACCGAGCTCGCTAGTGGTGTTAGTAGGCTTGATACTGCGGCAGCTGGGCACAATCTTGGGGTTTTTCCGGCTTTAGGGAGAATCGGCTTTTGAGTATGTTCCGATGCTTAGGATTCAGCTCAACTAGGCGGTTTCGACAGTGGAGGGGTCGGCTTTTATGGGCAGAGGGATTCCCCTTGGGTTGATTTGGTGGCTGCAGGTTCAACTTGGAATAACTGTTGTGGAAGGGCTAGTGTTATTTTTTCTATTTCTATGTTTTGTTTTGTGTGGTAAGTTTGTGTATTTGGTTTGGGCACTTAGCCCCTGTTAAGCCCGAGTGTGAGCTTATTATCCTGTTGAGACCATACACTCGATTATTATCCTGTTGAGATCATTTTCATACTTTTTTAGTTTGTTTGTTTGTTTGTGTTGTTATTCTAGCATTGTTAGGATAGGCTCTAGGCAATCTTCGGATCTATCCTCCCAGTCTTCTCGGCCGTTGGTTGTACTTTCAGCTGTTTGCTATTTTCTGCGGTTTTTTAGTTATATCATATCTCTATAGTTTCGAAAAAATAAAAAATAAAACAATTGGTCTGTACTACAGAATATGTCTATCGCAACTGTTTACTATACCCAGTGACCAATTCCATAAGAGCAGGCGAACTGGTTGATGTACAGCAAAATTTGTATGGTTCTCGGCACCATTCACAATTAATTCAATTATACAAAATTGAAGACCTGTGATCATAACCTGGACTATCAGAAATTTTGGACTATGGTAATTGGTAGATGAGAAAATACTAAATCATGTTTACCATGACTTATTCAAGACTAGAGACAATAAACCAATTAACAATTTGTTCGTGCAAATTGTAGTAATAGCCAAGACATGTGCAAAATACATACAAATTGTAGTAATAGCCAAGACATTAGTCTGTGATAGGTAAAACACATTTTTGTGTTGATTCTATCTGATAATGGGAAACAAACAGAATCAAAAGAGTTGAGATTAAATTAGAAATAATCATGAGCACGCTTGAAATGAAGAGGGTAAGTTCAACGGTGGTTGGAAAATGAAGAACATTTCCTTAACCAATCCTGGCAATTTCAAGAACTCTAAAAAAATCAATTAACACGATCAATTCTGGCACTTTCAAGTAAATTAAACTCGATAACATGATTCATACTACCGATACATACTATGGAAAAGTTCAGCTAAGAAATGTCAATAGTATAGAAATAAATAACAAGCAAAAACTGCATTCAACAAAAATAAAAAAATAAAAACTCAAGCTACCCATGAGACCAACATAAATATCAAAACAATGTAAACTTACCCACAATTCAGCAAAAAACCGACTTCAATTTTCAATCGTGATCAGAGTTTTCAATATTACTAAATCCTAAAATTAAAGTCTTACACAATATCAACTATCTAATTCCTCAAGGGGAAAAGAGTCAATTAGCTAGCTTCTCAGGAAAATGAAACAGAGAAAAATTGAAAAAGGGGAAAACGAGCATACTCAGAAGCCGAGCTTAGTGCGTCGCCAGTGGCGGCGCTTGGCGTTGTAGCGAATGGTGTTGTCGGTGCGCAGGCGGATCCAGTGAGGAATAGGCCTGTTCTGTCTCTGCTTCTTTGCCAGCTTCTTCTTTATGATGAATGTCTTGTGCGAAGGCTGCAAATTCAATAATTCAAACACACACGCACAAACGAGAAGAATGAGTGTTTATTAGAAAAAAAAAAAAAGTTGAAACGAGAAGTACGGAGAGAGATGTGGATGAACCATGGTTGAATTCCTGCGGCGGCAAGAGCCTACTCGTTGAGGATTTGCGATGCTGAATGTCCCAAGTTCGACACAATGAGAGGCAGCAATAGAAGCCCTAGTTACTATATATTTGGGGCATTGGGGGCGGCTGCATTAGTTGGATTTCTTTTGCAATATTTTAAGGGCTTTTTGTGGAAATCCAGATGGGATTAATAGCATGATCAGCCTCATTAGGTATTGGGCTAGAATAAGTCCCATTAAATCCGTGTATGACAAAAAGACATTGAGGAAATTGCACCCTACACGATGTATACAGTTTTTTATTATATAAATAATGCCCCCTTATAAATATTAGCATATTGTCTAAATCTATAAATTTTATTTACAAAAATTCCACAATCAAGATTTTGCGTGATTAATGGTGAGATCTTATCACCTTCCAAATAATTCTCCCCCACTCTCTTCCACCATGAAAATCGGTACCGTCTCTCCCAAACATCATTTTTTAAACCAGTCGCTACCCTCGATTGGAAATTTTCAAAACCCTACAAATCGCCACGGTAAATCAACCCTGAGCATCCGGCGGCGAGCCACCAGATGCCGTCGTGCTGACCTTAGTCGCGGCCAAGCAGACCCCATCCATCAACGACCGAAGCTCCAATTTCACGACAACCACATCGTCCGACCACGAGCAGCGAGCCGTGACCTTGAGCCACTAGATTTCCGAGGAAGAACCACTACTCGTCGCCGCGATCGGAGAACCACTACTTCGACAAAAAAAATGAAATCGAAGGACACCCGGATATCACCCAGGAAAAAAGGACATGAAAAGGCCGAATCCACATCCGATTCAGGCCATTTTCAGTCGGACCCCGGAGACAACAATCAAAAAATTTCACGCAAACACCTAAAAATAGGGTTGTGCATGTACTGTGTATGTTGTGTATATGTTATGTATATGTACTGTGTATGTTAGGTACTGTGTACGTTTATGTTATGTTTATGGTTATGTTATGTATATGTTTATGTATATGCTTTGTTTATGTTATGTTTATGTTATGTATATGTTTTGTTTCTGTTTATCTTAGTATAATATCAACAGTGACTGATTTTGTGATATCGTGTATGTTGTGTATATTTTTTTTCTCGTGTTTTCTCATATGTTTGAATTTTCAAATATCATCTCTTTTTTCTTTTAGATATGAACAGACAATACGGATTGTTTGTTGAAAATCTCATCTTACCGTGATTATAGGTGGGTGGATTAATTAAGGTAACGGAATTTTCTGTTTTGTCAACAAATAAAAGCAATTCATTAGGTATTAATGCAATTAAGTTGTTGCATTTTGTATTTTTACAATTTTTTGAAAACCTTGTGGTATGTATGAAAATAGCCCAAAAGACATAAATAGGCTCCTATTTAAAATCATTTCCACAAAAGAAACTCATTTGAGAGAATTCCAAAACGTTAATATTTCATTTCAAAACAATATAAATAATACGGTTTTGCTAAGGAGACCACTGTGGGCTCCTTTACGGAGCCAACTGTCTACATGGCATGCCTACATGGCAATTCAATAAATCCTATGATTTTTTATATATTTTTTTAATTCTGTTTTTTTTTTTTTCTTTTTGAGAGAACGCAACAGAGGAAGGAGGGCTCTCCATCGACTGAAAAGTACGATGAAGTAAAATTTTCCATTGCACAGATTGGACCTACGACAATTGAAGGAGAACCCTGATCAATTCCATCGATTCCCCTAATTGATATTTTTTCCATCCCCACCAATTATTCACCAAATTGGTTTTGAGAGGAATAGCCATGGCTGTGACCCAATCATCCTCTTCTCGCAACGACAAAGGCAGTCCCATCCCCACCGGCCTAGCCATCCCCGCCGCGACGACTGTCGCCGCCTCCACTGCCCGCCCGACGGGATGTCGACCCTCACCAGCACGTACAGGGACAAGTGGTAATCTCCCTGCTGCAGCACCATTCAATTCTAAATACTCGCAAGATACTCCAGCAATTTACACAGGGATCGAGACAGAACAAGTTGATAAAGTATTCATTCCTCAAGTTGATTCCACTGTTGTGCCTAAAATCGGTCTACAATTTCAATCAGATGAAAAGGCTCATATTTTCTATAATACTTATGCTAAAGACGCCGGGTTTAGCATTAAAGTTCGGAACAGCAAAAAGAATAAAATAGATGGCACGTTTGTTTGGAGGAATTTCACTTGCTCTAAAGAAGGTAAGACAAATGAGTCTTATCGAAAGAATAAACACGTAGTGGCAGAAACAAGTGAACGAAGAAGAGGGGAAACCAGATGTAATTGTCCGGCGCGAATGAGTGTTCGAAAAGACAATGAAATTTGGGTAGTGAAGGAGTTTGAAGAGAAGCATAATCATCCTCTTGCAACTCCTAAAAAGACTCATTTACTTAGATCTCATCGAGTTGTGTCGGCTACAAAACGTGCGCTTGTTCAGGAGTATGATGAAGCAAATATATGAACATCCCAACAAGTTAGATTGCTTGAAATTACTTCTGGTGGTCCTTCTATGATGGGATGTTTGGAGAAGGATATTAGGAATGAAGAAACATCACGTAAAGCGGAATTGAAAGGACATGATGCACTTACCTTGATTCACCAATTCGAAATGGAAAAAGAGAGGAATGAGAATTTCTATTACGTTTATGAGACAGACGATGATGGTGTTTCCTTAAGGTGTTTCTGGTCCGATAATGCATCAAAAAATTCATATGCGTTGTTTGGCAGTGCAGTTGTATTCGACACCACTTATAACACAAATAAGTACGGAATGGTGTTCGCGCCTTTTGTTGGTGTCAACCATCATAGACAGACCACTGTGTTTGGTTGTGGGTTACTCAGTGATGAGAAAGCGGAGTCTTTTGTTTGGTTATTTTCTAAATTTCTAGTTGCAATGATAAACCAACCGCATCCAGAAATTGTTATCACTGACCAAGATGCTGTTATATCAGTTGTTGTGGCTGAGGTATTTCCAAGTACCATACATCGATATTGTATTTGGCATATCTTAAACAAATTTTCCGAAAAGCTCGGTCCTGTCCTTTATAATTTACACCACCGTACTTTATTTGAGATTATTAAAGACTCTGAGACTCCTAACGAGTATGAGTTTAGGTGGAATTCGTTGATGAGTGCTTCTCAATTGAGCTGTAATGAGTGGTTGTCAAAGATGTATGATATCCGTAGTCGTTGGGTTCCGACATATATGAAGGATGTTTTTTCTGCTGGAATGTCTAGCAGCAAACGAGTTGAAAGTAATCACGCATTTTTTAAGCGATACCTCGATAAGAAATGCTCATTGAATGATTTTTTCACTTGTTTTAGTAGGGCTGTTGCTCATCAGAGGCATGAAGAATTAATGTCTACTCATATTGATCTTAATGAGAAGCCGAGGGTCAACACTTCATTTGCAATGGAGAAGCAGATGGCTGAGATATATACGAAAACAATATTTTTGTTGTTTCAGAAAGAGTTCGAAAAAAGTGCATTCTATAAATGTACAGTGATCTCAAGTTCCATAGATTGCTGAGTTTATGTGGTTTGGCGGTTTGATATTGAAATGACTACCCAACGTCGACGTCACTTGACATATGATGTCTCAAAGGATTTTGTAACTTGTAGTTGCAAACACTTTGAGTTTGAAGGGTATCCTTGTCGGCACATGTTATGCTGGATGAGAGTAGAACAGGTGATGTTACTACCAAAAGAGTATGTTAAAGAAAGGTGGACAAAAAATGCAAAGAGTACTCTTTTGTATGACACACCGCATGATTTTGTAGAAAGTAAGTCTTTACAAGGTAGGTATGGAGCATTGATGCACATGGCACGAGAGCTCATTGATGATGCGTCGTTGACTGAAGCACGAAGCAATTTTTTAACGGAAAAATTCAAATATTTGAAAGGCGACGTAGCGCAAATTGATGATGGGGAATGCAAAGGTAAGTGCTCTTCTAAAAGACAAAATAGGGACGAGATGCTACTCATATGTGACCCCGAGCCTGTACGAACTAAAGGTTGTGGAAAACGTCTAAAGTCAAGTAAAGAGAAAGCCATGTCAAAAAGTGCTCGAACTTGTAGCTCGTGCCATCAGAATGGCCATGACAAGCGAAAGTGTCCGAGTTACAACATACGGCTTGAAGATGATCCATATCGTACAGACATGTCGAGATTTCATAATTTTATATAATCTGACTCCGTATTTGGTTTTTAAGTTGTTATTATTTTTTTTGGATGATTCGTTTTATTTCTAGTTCTGAAGCATTTGAAGTATAACTTGTTATTTTTATTTGTTCTTATTCTGTTTAGGTTTAGGTGATTGGAATAAGACAAAATTCAACTATGCAAATTTAGTACTGAGAAGCATATAGTTTTTCAGTCTTGGAATATATGATTTTTCAACTATCCATTGTTTATATCACTGTACTCGCAAGCGGTTTGATGATATTAATCAATTTATCCATTGTTTATATCACTGTAGTCGCACGCAGTTTAAAGTAATATTTTTAGCAGTAATGAACTAAGGAGCAACATCCATGGACAATGTTTAACTGTGCAATATTTTGTATTCACACGACATATGAAACCAGTCATATATACACAACTTATGCTTCAGTATTTACAAAATCTGCAAGTAAGCAGTTTTCTAAAGACATCTATTTACAAATCATAATGATGTACAAGCTAAACCATTGCAACACATACTCTATCCACATATTATCATCTCTTTTCTGACAGGACAATCTGAAATTTATGAAGTCTAGAAATAAGAAAAAGCTCTAGTCTTATAATCGTTTTCTTCTGCTGCGGTTTGGAGAACTTGTTGAGTTCCAATTGACTTGTAAAGCACCTTGCAAATTGAGTCAATTGTCTGCGTCAACAGGGCTGCCAGTTACATACGTGACATGAAAAGTATCCCTTGCTTGTCTGCCCTTTTGTCGAGATTTTGGTTCTTTTGATGCACAAGCTGTTTTTCCTTAAATATCCCATCATGTCGAAAAATAGAAAGGGTCCTACAATATTTAAGCAATAATGCAACTCATACATCAGTAGAAAGGTTCTTGCAATTTTCAAGGAATAATGACTAGAAAGGTTCTTGCAATATTCACAAACATTTTATGATGTCAACAACAACAGGCTAAATAACTAGAACCAGCAAAATGTGGCAAGATATCTAGACTCATTAGATTAACACAAAAGTACAATGGATACACCACCACTTCACACAAAGTTCAATGTAACCACCACAAGTAGAAAAGAAATGAGTGTCACGAGGGGTATTTCATTTGCAATGCTGAATTTTATACCATGATTTTTTCATTTTTAGAAGAGCTCACATCACTTATTTTAACCAACCACAAACCAGGTACTGAAATAGTTACAAAAAGTAGTGTCATTTTTTTTATGCAGGTATCAGCATACTATGGCCTTCTACCAGGTACTGAAATAGTTAACCAACCAATCTTATGTATGAGATGATAGCTTTTATTGTCCTTAAGCATTGCAGCTATGTCCTTCATGGTAGGTCTATCATCTGGCGAAAGATTCACACAAAACATAGCAGCTCCTAGAGTTTGCAGCATCTATTCAACTTCGGGCTCGGGCCTATAGGCTGTTTACCGGTTAAAACTTCGAGCACCACAACTCCGTAGCTGTAGACATCACTCTTTTTTGTGATCTTCATCATGTATGTAGACATCACTCTTTTTTGTGATCTTCATCATGTATCCATACTCTGAACATTATCAGGACAAGAAAATATGGTGAAAATAAATAACCAAAAATATATAACTTGGTAGCTAAAACAATGTAAAGAAGGAAGAACTAACCAGGAGCAATATATCCATAGGAGCCCGCAACACCGGTCGACGAGCAAGCGAAATCCCCATCATCTACAAGCTTCGCAAGTGCGAAATTTGCAATATACGGCTCGAAATCGAGCCCGAACAAAATCCGATAAGCACCCCCAAAAACTTTACTATGTTATTGTGCCGGATGGAACCGAGCGTGTGGACCTCCGTCGAGAACGAGTTACGGGCCGTCACACCCCATAGCTCTTTAATTGCAATGATCTCACTGTGGATTGTTGATGCTTGACAAAATGGATTGTTGATGTATCGTCGTTTTCATCTTCTTCTTGCTTCTGGTGAATTTGCCCCAAAACAAAACCTAGAAAAAAATGAATTGTTTGTGAATAATTGCGTGTAGGAGATTAATTAGTATGCTAGAGATGACTAGGATTTATTGAATTGCCATGTAAGCATGCCATGTAGACAGTTGGCTCCGTAAAGGAGCCCACAGTGGTCTCCTTAGCAAAACCGATAAATAATAACTACTCCAATGAGAAGTTAAAAAATTATTAATTCAAAAATTAAACTAATAACTAACTACTCTCTCATCCTCTTTTTTTTTTTTTTTTTTTTTTT